AGTGGATACTTAAATTAAGCGATAACTGAGGTAGACATCCCATGGTGCCCTATTAACAAAATGGGGGGATGAAAGGAGGTAAATAGAATACAAATTACTGCCTATGTCTAGAGGCTTCCAATGAAGATGAGAAAAATGGTTTAAGGAAGAGATTAAACATTCACTTTAATAACCTTTTCTCTACTCTTCTTGACAGTCTATTGTAAAATACGAGCAATTCAGGCTTTTAACCGGGTTGTCAGGAACATGTTTGACATCACTCAGAATGTTAGTAATGGTTCATCTCTGCTGTGTTTCTAGGCTGCTGGATAATTTTCCAAGCCTTAGGAGTGGGTAGTTGTTTTATTCACAAATAGTGTCTGTTCCACTCATACACAGAAGACACAGGAAATGGGAGACCTAGCCATCCACTGAAAAAGGACCCCGTCCCCCTTGTTGATGAAGCTCTTCCCTCGCCTGCCCTCGCGGAGCCTAGCAGAGGTTTAGAAGGAGCTCTCTTGGAGTAAAATGCCGGAACAGATAGTGGAGGCTATACAGAAGCCTCAACTTTGAGATTCCAAACCTGAAAGTTTCCATGGACACTGGCATGCTGGGAGGACACTGTGCAGTAGGAGTGAGGACAGCTTGCAGCATCTGAAAAAGTTCCATTTCCTGCTTTTTAATTTTTCTATTTTAGAATAGTGGCCATTCAGAAGAAGGAAAGGGGAGTGAAAATGGACTTTTTGACCTTTTCAGGAGGTAATTAGAATCTTCGCATTCTATTTCATGCAGTCCACATTTTTTAGTCATTTTTGAAGTAGGCTCCTTTAAACTTACTTGCAGGAAATTTGGCTAATAGAACAAGTATTTCAGAAATCTTTAATCAATGTAAACTTGGATACTTTTCTTTTGTGTAGTTTCCTGCTTCTGACCCTGTTCCATCTTTCTCAGTTCATCTCAGCAACACTTTTCTGGAACAAATATTTCTTAAACCATAATGCTCTCTAGCCAGTATCCTTGTTGTTTTTATAATCTGTCCATAATAGAAAAGTCAATAAAACTTTGGTTTCCTACAGGCCAGCTAGCTAGCTAGGAGTTAATGGCTTCTAGCCCATGTCAAGCACATTGAATGGTGTTGTTTTTAAGTACAAGCTCTTAATTCAAGGTTTTTGTGTGTTTAATTATGTATGTGTAAAGTGCTAGTCTGCATGCCTCTTGGGTCCAGCCTAGCTTGGAAATATTAACTACAAGAGCATATAGAGAGTACCATGGGTTGAGACTTAACTCTTCAGATGTACATTCTTTATCCCAGGATTCACTTCAGGGGAATGACATCCCAGTGGGGATAACATCAGAAGCAGCCTGTTAACTGAGGAAACACTTCAATTAAGAAGAACTAAATTTGAAGAACCTGAAGCAGGCAGAAAGGGATCATTAGAGGCAATATGATTTAGCAGAAAGTACACTGGACTCGACCAGAGGAAAGTTAGTTTCTAAACCTAACTTGATTACTGCACTTCTCTGGAGCCTTTTTTTTTTCACCTCTAAAATGAGGAGGTTGGAGTCAGCGCTAATAACAATCAGATGTTCACTAGTTACTCATGACCATTCACAAATAAGTGGCCAATTTTTTTCAAATTACAATGCTATGTTTAAGCAATTTTAGTAAAATGCTATGTTTGAGTAATAACATAGCTTTTCACCCTAATGCAGCTGTAACAAAGATATATCAACTTGTTTGTAACCTAGGGCTTTAAGGTTTCAACAACTTAGAGGCCAGTCAGTTGACCAAAGGGAGAAAACTTCTTTTAGAGTTTCATTTGTGTAGAGGACTCAGGCCTCTCAGGTGATATTTTCCTGGAGACCACTACCAGTGCCCCAGGAAGTACTTCAAGGAGGAAGGGGACATTTTTCTTTTAACCAGATTAGTTCCACTTTTGGCTCTATTATATTTTAGAGTTCTACATTAAGATTTTGTTTGGGGTGAGGGAAGTTCTGTGGCTTTAAAAAGATTTGACAATTACTAGTGGATCCTATAAAAAAGGAACATTTTACATCACCAATTTCATCATTCTGTGGTACATCCAGCTTTCTCTCTTCTCTGCATCTGTGAAATTTTCTCTTTTTACGTGACACCGCATGTAGTATAGTCAAGAGTATGAAACTATCACTCTCACCTTTGAGGAGCTGTAGGATAGAGCCTGAAGAAGTTCTAAGAATCCTCTTCAGAAATGGTATCAGTGGCTACCAGGTAGCAAGTGCTGATGTCAAGGGCCTGCTGCTTCTTGGAGAACTGTGAGGTTTATAGCAGAATGGTTTTGATGGCAAGGAGGTGAAATGAAACTTGAAAGAGAGTTTTGAAAGCTGTTTCACTCCTGCCATTGGTAGGAGTTCTTTCTCCAGACCTACCACATGCCCAATTCCCCAGGAAGTCTCTCCTTTAGGCTCTGAATTTGAATGGATGCCATGACCCGGAAGTTTGTTCTTACCATTTTTGAAGCAGGTTGGAGAATACCTATTTGTTGATTAATAGACAACAGGAGTTGGAAGAATGCTTAAAGGTTTTATAGAGTAGATTATTCTGCCTTAAATTCTCATTTGTGGCCTGATTTCTATAAAATAAACTATATAAAGGTTAACAAAAACCTATGTAGAGCAGTGTGAAATAGAAAATTTAATTTTTCAAAACCATGATTTATTTGCCTGCTACAGTCTGGTCCACACCTTTCCTGACTGTGATGTCAGCTTCCTAACTTTGAACCACATGTGTATGTGAAGTCTAGTAAAATAGGTTGTGAGTCAGTTTTATTATGATGTCCGTTTTTAGTCACTTGGAACTGTTAAGAGATTTTCTTAGACATTCAGAAAAGTTCATCCCTTAGCTAAAACTTCCTAGGTTTGGTCTCAAAGAGAAGGTCCTAGGTCTTATAAGACCTAATTTATTTCAAGGGTAGAGATCCACTGATAAATGATCACCATAAAGCATAACAGTTTTGAAATATATACACTAAAAGTAGAAAGGAGGGGCTGGCCCGGTGGCGCAGTAGTTAAGTGTGCGCGCTCTGCTTCGGCGGCCCGGGGTTCGCAGGTTCCGATCCTGGGCGTGCACTGACGCACCGCTTGTCAAGTCATGCTGTGGCAGCGTCCTACATAAAATAGAGGAAGATGAGCACAGATGTTAGCCCAGGGCCAATCTTCCTTAGCAAAAAAAGAGGAGGATTGGCATCAGATGTTAGCTCAGGGCTGATCTTCCTCACAAAAAAAAAAAAACAAATAGAAAGGAATTCCATAAATAAACACCAATCACAGTTCTCAATCTGATACAGAATTTGCAGGGACATTAATAACATTTAACACTCCCCCTCCCCCTTTCTTTTGCACCAAGGAGAGTACCTGCACAACGTATATGAATTCCTGAGGGCTTCTGTCACTTAGTCACTTGATGTGTGAGCAGATCTAATAACAGGCCTTATTTTGCACTGACATTCTTATGTCAGTGTTACAAAAACTGCTTAATGTCTCAAGCCTCTTTCAGTTGTTAAGAAGCTAATTAAAAATGGCCTCATTTTCCCCTCTCCTTTAGTCTTTCTCTTCTTCAATCTCCTTTTTAGCTTTTCCCAGTTTGACTTCCCTTCCAACAGACTGTTGTAGTGAACAGAGTACCAGACCAGGAACAAGAAGGTTGGAGTCCTCTGTGTCTCCTACAAGTTTGCAGCTGTGTCTGTTCCCTTATCTGTAAAAGAAAGGGGTTCCCTTAGATGATGATACTTTCTTTTCCAGCTCTGAAATTTTCTCTTGGCCTTTCTCCTTTTGTCTACTGTTCTACCTCTTCCCTGTTCCCTACCTCAGCTACTCAGTATGCATAGTTGTCTAAAAATACTCATCAAATAAACATGGTTGTGAGGAAACATCAATAAGTATAGTTACTAGCAAGATAAGGAGTTTAGAAATTCTTATTTTGGAAATTTCTCACTTTGTTTGCAGTATGCTCTAGCCAAATATAGCCCACAGTTGTATTTTATTTGGTCTGCACAGTTGTTGCAGAGTAAAACAATAATATATTTTCACCCACCAGAGAGTAAAAATCTAAAGCCTTCACTAATATTATCCAATATTGGTGAAGGTGTAGGGAAATGCTTCCTTTTGCACATTGTTGTGGGAATGTAATTGGTGCGTCTTTTTTGGAGGGCAGTTTAGCAGTATCGGTCAGTATTTTTAGAGTATATATATATTAACTCAGTGACTCCAAAGGTCTATAAAGAAACTCATATACACATATTAAAATGTATAGCCGAGGATGTTCTTGGCTGTGTTCTTTGTAATAGCAAAAATTTGGAAATATCTTCTATTTTCATTAAGAAGGTAAATATTTAATAGATATATTTATCCTTTTATTTATATATATAAATATCCATATCTATCCATATCATACAGACGTTAAAAATAATACAAAGAATAAAGTTGATCTGTATGTCTTACATATTTTAGATAGAAAGGCAAGACAGAATCATTAGATAGAAAGGCAAGACACAGAATCATATGTTCACTATGATCCATTTATATAAAAACACCACAATTGTATACATAAATGTGTATAACTAAATAGAAAAATGGCTGGAAGGATGCATACCAAACTGTTGACAGTAATTACCCTCTGAGTAGGAAAATGGTATCAGGATGAAGAAAGAAGAATTTCATTTTTTACAATATACACTCATCTTTTGAATTTTTAAAAAGTAATCATGTATTACAGGTATAAAAATGAACAAAAGGAAAAGCAAAAAGGAAGGATAAGGAATTAGTTCCTAAAGAATGAAAAAGGCAAAAAGATTAGCAGGAAATTTGTCAAAGATACTAGGGGAACATTGTTTAGAGGATATTCCCAAAACTTCAGGATCAGGTAGGAGCCATGGTTTGTTTTTATTTTGGCCAAAGCTGCCTAGCACTTATAGTAATAGCTCTACCCTTCCATTTCTTTATGTGTCCAACTTAAATTATCCTTATTTGTCTGTTTTCTGCAGGTAACCCGGGACCAGATGAAGGTGTTTATACAGCAGGAATTTAAGAAAGTTCAGAAAGTGATTGCTGATGAGGAGCAGAAGGCCCTGCATCTAGTGGACATCCAGGAAGCAATGGCCACAGCTCATGTGACTGAGATACTGGCAGACATCCAATCCCACATGGATAGGTTGATGACTCAGATGGCCCAAGCCAAGGAACAACTTGATACCTCTAATGAATCAGCTGAGCCAAAGGCAGAGGTAAAGGAGAATGCCTATAGTTATTAGTAGCAGGAGAGATAGGAGGAAACTAATTGCCATGTTTGCTAGCTCTGGATGTTCCCCCTTGTGGTCCCTAAACATAAATACATTGAAAGCTTAAATAAGGTATAAGTATTTAGACTGGTATGTAAACCAGTATGTAAGTATTAGCTGCTGGGAGCCCACACCCAGCAACTGGGACTGGCAAAATATTTGTCCACCGTGATTTAAAGGAGTATGGTCAATGGTGCAAATACTAATCACAGTTAAGGAGGGAAACCAGAACTCAGAGCCAGAGAAGAGGGCAATTGACAAATCCCAAGTTCTGAAATGAGCCTGTAAGTAAAGTCATCATAGGGATGAGAACTGGGCTGAATGAGAATAAATCAGGAAGTGAAGCATATAGCAGGCCAGAATGAAAGATTTTGGACTGATTATGTGAATAGTGAAAAGGTGTCTGTGAATAGTGAGAAGGTGCCTCAGGCTGGTTTTTATATGGAGCCAACTGCATAAATTGGGGGCGTAACTATTGGTTTAAGAGAGGCATGTGGGCTAGGGCATTGTGAAGATCAAAAAAAGTATGAGTGAGGGGCCGGCCTGGTGGCACAAGTGGTTGAGTGCGCGTGCTCCGGTGCGGCGGCCCGGTTTGGATCCCAGGCATGCACCAACGCACTGCTTGGCAAGCCATGCTGTGGTGGCATCCCATATAAAGCAGGGCAAGATGGGCACGGATGTTAGCCCAGAGCCAGTCTTCCTCAGCAAAAAAGAGGGGGGATTGGCAGATGTTAGCTCAGGGCTGATCGTCCTCAAAAAAAAAAAAAAAAAAATGTGTGAGTGAAAGATGTAAGATAAATGTTGAATCACTGTACAAATGTTAGTCACTGTATTCATTGTTATTTTGTAATAGGAATAAAAGGGTCTTAGGTATTTTACCAAACAACATATTTAGGCATTTAGAATCTATGTCTAAAAAAAAATTTAAAGCAACCATTAAAAAAAACTTATATTTCAGCCACTGGGGAAAGGCTGTTGTTCATCAGGTTTCATAGCATTTTGTTGAAAATTCTGGTCAAGCTTATGCCAGATAGGTTTAGGGTAGGCCGTTCCAGAAGAAGACCTAGGAGAGTCACATAGACTTTCCAGGACTGCTGCTGACTCCATGAGCTCAGCCTTAACTAGCAGTCTTGCCTTGGTCCAGGAGAGCCTCGCCATAGAATAACCAGGCAGCAGAAGAGTAAAGGTGTAATCCAGGAGGCAAATATGGTCCGGGCATTCCTGACAGGAAATGTAGGAGACCATTGGATGGTTATCTGCTTCACTCATCCTGGATTCTTGATTCATTTTCATCAGTGTGTGAAAAGAATAGACTCGATCTTGCTCTTTTCATTTCATCCTCTCCAGAATTAAGAAAGTGTGGGCCTAAATAAGTGTATAGATAGGCAAGAGAGCACTTTATATTCACCATTTCGTTTAATCCTGATATCAGCATTCATTATCTCTATTTTACAGATGGGATATTGAGATGCAGAGATGCTGACCCAGTGTCATTTAGTTAGAAGAAAACAGAGCCAGGATTCAGATTTAAGTCTGTCCTATTCCAGTGCCTGTAGTGTTTCCCTGCTACAGTATATGCCATATGCCAAGTTTGTATCTGTGGGAAGAATGAGGAGAATCAGTGTCCTACTCAGCTTTGCATTCCTAAGACCTTTGACAATGTAGAGATGGTCACTTTGTGCCTTAATAAACAAAAAGTTCAACCAGAGTTAACTCAAGGGATCAATGGCATAACTGTCCGAAATTCTCCTCAAATTGGACCCTCACATTTATTCTGTGTCGATTAGGTTGTTTTTTCAAAAATAAAGATTTAATTTTGAGAGATATCCCTCTCTCTTTTATTTTCATTTCAAATAATGAATATAGTCCCTCTCCAACATTAACTGTCATTTAAGCGCTTCAGCTACTCAACTGCACTATGCTTGTTAACTCTGATGGAATTACTCTTAGAGATGCAAAGCTGACAAGGCTGAGGACCAGGCTGTGGACAAAATAAGCTATTAAAAACGAGAAGTAGCATTCAGCTGGCTAGAGCTTTTGTACAAGGAGCTGTTATCATCTAATAGCCTCTCATTCCAGCTAATCTGGTAACTTATTGATCAGAACAAATTTCCAGTACCTCTCTTTCACCCACAGAGGAATTCTTTTCTTCCTCTTGCAAGGTATGGATTTTTTTTTTAAGTCACTTGCATTTTGAATTGGCCAAGTGATTTCCCCCCCCAAACAGTTTATTATGAAAATTTTCAAACATACGGCAAAGTTGAAAAGATTTTACAGATTATACCCATATACCTCCCCCTAGATTCTACCATTAATATTTTACTATGCTTGATTCATTTTATGTATATAGCCATCTTTCCAACCTTCCACTCCTCATTTCATCTTATTTTTTGATTCTTTTAAAAGCAGATTGCAGCTTCTGGTTCTGAACAAGATAGAGTAAACACATTTCATTTTACTTCTTCCACTAATCACAGGAAAAATTCCTGGACAAAATACTTAAGTCACCTACCAGAAGACTCAAAAGTGGAGAAATGATGGCAGACTGACCAGGGACATTGGGATTTGAGGAACCACTTGGCAGTGAGTTCCCTGGGGTTTTTCTTACTTCCTGGAAACACTGCTGGGCACAGACTAGAAGAAAATCTCCAAGAAAGGTCTGCTCTCTCTAGCCAAAGGACTGGGAAAAGGGCAGTTCACCTGTAGAGAAATCTTTTGACCATACCTGCCTATTCTGAAGATGAACACCATGAATCAAACTGCACCTCTTCCCAACCCCAATTGGCACTGCAGTAGTGGGGCCAGTGGGGTGAAAACCTATTTTATACCCTCCCCTGTAGGAATGAAGTGTCATTCTTTCTCCATGGAGCCTTTAGGTAAAAGTCTGACTTCTACCTTTGCCCCTGCCCATGTCAGTAGTGAGTGGTGCCCATCTCCCATGGAGCCTATAGGTGGGACTCGGACTTCTACCTTGGCCCTGCAGTTACAGAAGAGAAATAGTACCCCTCTTCTGTGGAGACTGTAGATGGAGCTCTAACTCCTCTTTCCCACCCCTGAATTAACTAGGCAATGCTCCTCCCCAGCTGAGTTGGTGGGTGGAACCTTATCTTCCACTCTTGCCCTCGCCCTCGAATAATGAATTGGTGCCCCTCCTCCTCCCTCCCTAGCACTGTGGAGACTGTAGTGTGGAGTCCTGTCATCTGAGGGGGGCAGACCAGAATAGCACTGCAGAAGCTTTATAAACTAAATTGACATTTGAACCACAGTCCACAAAACTGATCCAGGACATGTGTTCTGAACCTAAATAGGTTCTACCTGCTAGAATAGAAGATTTAAATAGGAACTAGATTCTTATAATCCTCAAAATGTCCAAGATACAGTCTAAAATTGCTCATTTTACAAAGAACGAATAAAATCTCTAATGAGAAAAGACAGTCAGCAGATGCCAACACCAAGAAGACATAGATTTTGGAATTATCGGACAAGGATTTTAAAGCCACTGTTATAAAGATGTTTCCATGAGCAATAACAAACACTCTGGAAACAAATTAAAAATAAAAAAATCTCAGCAAGGAAATAGAAGATATAAAGAAGGATCAAATGAAAATTTTAGAAACGAAAAATATAATAACTGACTTAAAAAATTCACTGGATTGACTCAATGGCAAATTGGAGATGACAGAGGAAAGAATCGGTAAATTTGAAGATATTGATCCAATCTGAACAACCAAGAAGAAAAGATTGTAAAATAATTGAACCGAGTCTCAGGGACCTGTGGGACGATAAAGAAAGATCTAACATACATGACACCTGTGTTCCGTAAGGGGGAGGAAAAAGAATGTGGGGCTGAAAAAAATTGAAGAAATAATTTGGTTGAAAGACATAAACCTAGAGATTTAAGAAGTTGAATGAACCCAACCAAGATAAACACTAAGAAATCCATATCCAGACACATCAAAATCAAACTTCTGAAAACTAAGGAAAAGGAAAAACCTTGACAGCAGAGTAACCAGAGAGGAATGAAACATGAGCTATGGGGAACAATAATGTGAATGGACGTTACATAGGATGTTTCTTCTATATCTATTGAAATGATAATTTGGTTGTTCTCCATTATTCTGTTGTGATGGTTCATTACATTGGTTAATTTTACAGTATTAAATCAACATTGCATTCCTGAGATAAACTCCCACTTGGTCATTACGTATTGTCTGGATTCGATGCATTAATATTTTGTTAAAGATTTTTATGTCTGTGTTCAATGAGGGATGTTCATCTGTAATTTTACATTTTTATAATATCATTGTCAGGCTTTGTTATTAGGTTTATGCTGGCCTCAGAAAACAAGCTGAGAAGTGTTCCCTCCTCATCTGTTTTCTGAAAGAGTTTATGTAAGATTGGTGTTATTTCTTCCTTAATATTTGGTAGAATTTACCAGCAAAACCATCTCTCTTGGAGTCTCTTTATGTGAAGATTTTTGATAACCAATTCAATTTCTTTAATATAGAGGTATTCAAATTTTGTTTTGTCTTATGATGATTTAATTTTTAAAAACTTTGTGTTGTAATTTTCAAAGAATTTGTTGTTTTCATCTAGGTTGTTTTTAGTATAAAGTTGATCGTAGTATTTTTTTATTACTTTTTAACTGTCTGTAGCATCTAGAATGATAACCCATCTTTCATTTCTGATATTGATAATTTGTAATTTTCCCCCTTTCTTTCCTTGAACTAGGATTTCATTAATTTTGTTGATCTTTTTAAACAACTAAGCTTTTGATTGACTAATTTTACTCGTTTTCTATTTTGTTTATATCTGCTCTTATTTCCTTTCTTCTACTTATTTTGAGTTTACTTTGTTCTTTTTTCTAGCTTCATTGATCATTAATTTTACTACTTTCTTGTTTTATGTAAACTTTTAAATCTATACATTTTTCTTTAAGCACTTCT